TATCTCGAAATATCAGAATTTTGATTCTATCACTGTTTTGTTTCGGTCTCCTTGAAAACGGAAACGTTTCGACCGTTTCGAAACGATATTTTGATCCTTGATTTTGATGAGTTTTTTTTGAACTACAAGCTTAAGTTTAGGTATGGGCTTGATTTCTTTTCAGTTGATGAGGTGCATCCTGGGTAAAGTGTTTCTTTTGTAAATTTTTTGGTTATGTTTTGCTCCATGTCTAGTATGTAGTAATGTTTGTGTTCCTTTTGTAAACCCGAACATATTGGTTGCACCCCCTTTTCTTTGCGCCTTTATCAAATTTCCTTTGTTTAAAACTATTGCGGTGTTGGGATGCTTTTCTTGTGGTATGTGGGCATCTCTCTTATCGTGACTGCCATGGTAGAGTGTATGGGTGTCAAATTTACAGTTTCGTCTGAGGTGGATCTTTTTTGTTTGTTTTACTTTTTATACCTGATTATAGTTGTTTTTCTACGTAATTTCATGTCTTGTCCCCTCTTGTTAATTATNTTGGATCTTTTTTGTCTGTTTTACTTTTTATGCCTGATTATAGTTGTTTTTCTACGTAATTTCATGTCTTGTCCCCTCTTGTTAATTATCTGTCTTATTTGCATGCGGATGGCCATTAGGTGGTGGACCACATGGTCTTATTCTAACCTTTTGCATATTAAAAGTATATTTTATTAGCTTTCATTTAAGCTTGTGAGGAGGTAAACTCTCCTTGTGCTCCTCTGTGGTTTGTAAGCAAACTCTCTTTATGCAAGATTCTAGAATGATTTTTTTGCATCACTATTTAGGTTAAGGAAAGCCAAATGCTCCTTTCCCGTTGGTAGGGATACCATATTCTTCTCAGGTGCTTCAATCCTGAGAAATGTGACCATGTAGATTTGGATTTTGTTGAGTCCTTTAACAGTGAACCGTTTTAATATAAGACCAACCGTTTGGGAAACCCTGTTTTAGGGGTTTTGTAGGCTTTATGGATGAATATCAAGAAGAGTTGAGAAAATTTCATGTGACATTTTTTGGGACTTTTTTTCTTAAATAATTTGTAGGACCCGAAGCATTATGTTGGTCAGCATTCAGAGGTGGTTAAGGGCTTACTAAAAGCTTAGACCATTATATGTTTACTTTACGTATACATGTCCTCTATGTCGGATAGTAGTGAAAGCTTAGACCATTTTTAAAGCTCAAATTGATGGATGCATTCTCCAAGAAGATGAATGTCAAGGTGGAAGGGTGGTATAGGCTGAGGTTTTGGTATGATATCTGGTGTTGAGAAGGTGGAAGGGTGGTATAGGCTGAGGTTTTGGTATGATATCTGGTGTTGAGAACACATCTTGGTGGAGTTGTTCACATTGTTCTTATCAATTGCGGTAACTATGGAGGCTGCAATTTGACAAAGTCAAGTATTTGAGAGGTTTTTGAGATTTTTTCATTTACAAAGGCTCTGAGGTTTGGCCAGCAGATGTTATAGATGCCCTTTTGGAACTTCTTTATGACTTTACCATAATAATAGTATGGATGATGTTTCAAAGTGGAAGGCCTCATGCGAGTGGCAGAAAGGAGATGACTTTTCAGTAAAAGTGGTAGTAGAGGGGGCTTGGGTGGCAACATATATGGTGTTTGAAAGTGTCTTAACAGTGGATTGTTTTGCTTGGTAGCACCCCTGGTTCACTTTGTGCCAATTGAGATTCTGATGATAAGAATTAAGGTGCTTTCTAACTATCATTACATGAGTAGGGGTGTAGAGGCAATAGCTAGTTAATCATCATTTGTGCTACTTTATTGTTCTTTAGGTCATGCCAGATTGGTAACAAATTCTTGGGTGCTTAAATAAGAAGAGGGGTCTATAGAGCTTGGCTGACGTTAGGAGCTGGCCTTTTCTTTGGTGGTGTGTGTTGGGGAAGCAAAATAAATAAATTTTAGGATAAAAAGGATGCTGATAATTCCTACGTCTATGTGCCAATGGTTTTATGGGAACAACTACTTAGCTAGTTTTTGTGAAGTGATTTTATTCCACTAGACATTTAAACTTTATGATTAATTTTGCTTTGTCGTTCCTTTATGTCCTCATTTGGTCACTGTCCTCGTTGATCAGATGAGCTCTTGTAGTGGATTACATTAAGAGCTCTTATAGTGGATTACATTTGTGGTCTACTATTGGAAGTTCCACCCGTGTGGATAGTTTGTCTATTGTAGCTTTTACTGGATGGTACCCTTTAGTCACCCTGCTTTATCACAACTTTTTGTGGATACCTCTTTCTTGCATGTCGTGTTTTCAAGAGAGGCCAATCTCTGTCTTTGTATTCCTTTTTTCCTCTTTAATGAGAGTTTTGTTTGCTGACAGAAGAGCTGTACTCTAGTCAATTTTTTCCGATTAAAAAGAAACAAGAAGTGGACAGAAATTCAAATCAACTATGCTTTCCTGAATCATTCTTATATTGTTCAAACATCATAGTCATGGTAACATTCTAGCATCCACACAAGTTTTTGATAAGATAGAACCTTTTTTCCTTTTCATTTGCTGTACTTTTTATAGAAATGATTCCCTTACTTGTTAAGGATCGAGTTATTCATTTTTTTAATTCAGATTGCAAAATGTCATCTCCTGCTGGAAGTAGGTGCTTGTTTGTGAGGATGTGACGAGTTAATAACAATTGTTCCTAAGGATGTGTTTGTCCCTAAGAGGCGTTCTGCATGAGTGATTGTAAGATGTTTGTTCAGTTAAGCAAGTAGCTCTTGTCCTTACACCAAGGAAAGAAGTGCTAGGCATGTCAAAAACTTGCTTCATCTTAATCTATTTAGTTTGTGAAAAGAACGTTACAAGCTAATGAATTTCTCAGAATAAACGTAGAAGTAACATAGTAATCATTCATTAGTATACTTGCTTACAACTGAAGCTTTGGAGTGTGGGGTTGGTGAGACATACCTATGTTTTAGAAGGAAATATCGATGAGTAACTCTGGCACTGATGGATGGATGGTGGTGGTGATATGGAATAGTGTTGGTAATGTTTACATGATGGCAGTAATAATTGAGGTGATGGTGGTCGTGATGTGGTGGGGAGAGTCTTAATGATAATATGATAGTTGTGGTGGCAGCAACACTTATTCTTTAACCCTTCTAGATTTTTTAAAATAAAATCCAAAACTTGTATTTAGGGTGGGTTTCTGAGCTCAGTTGAAGATTTCTGCTATAAATACTTGTTTTGGATTTGGGGGTCACAAATCTCATCTCATCTCAAATCCACTGAAATATTGAGTCAAAATGTATCCTGAGTTGGAAACATTGCCTCGGCATTTTCTCAATTGTTGAATAATTGGTAACGGTCTTGGGATGGACAATGGTTGCTTCATAAAGTAATTCTTTTTGATGGATTATGTGATAAACATAGGGGATGAACCATTGATGAGAAGTAAGCTCTACTGGGCCATATTGCTTTTTTTTTTTTTTTAAGGAAATATGACGGTCTTGGTTCGGAGATGGGTGCATGGCTCTTGTTTCTTAAATGTGAGCATGTGAAATGTNCTCTTTTTGATGGATTATGTGATAAACATAGGGGATGAACCATTGACGAGAAGTAAGCTCTACTGGGCCATATTGCTTTTTTTTTTTTTTTTAAGGAAATATGACGGTCTTGGTTCGGAGATGGGTGCATGGCTNGAGCAAGTAGCTCTTGTCCTTACACCAAGGAAAGAAGTGCTAGACATGTCAAAAACTTGCTTCATCTTAATCTATTTAGTTTGTGTGAAAAGAACGTTACAAGCTAATGAATTTCTCAGAATAAACGTAGAAGTAACATANAAGCAAGTAGCTCTTGTCCTTACACCAAGGAAAGAAGTGCTAGGCATGTCAAAAACTTGCTTCATCTTAATCTATTTAGTTTGTGAAAAGAACGTTACAAGCTAATGAATTTCTCAGAATAAACGTAGAAGTAACATAGTAATCATTCATTAGTATACTTGCTTACAACTGAAGCTTTGGAGTGTGGGGTTGGTGAGACATACCTATGTTTTAGAAGGAAATATCGATGAGTAACTCTGGCACTGATGGATGGATGGTGGTGGTGATATGGAATAGTGTTGGTAATGTTTACATGATGGCAGTAATAATTGAGGTGATGGTGGTCGTGATGTGGTGGGGAGAGTCTTAATGATAATATGATAGTTGTGGTGGCAGCAACACTTATTCTTTAACCCTTCTAGATTTTTTAAAATAAAATCCAAAACTTGTATTTAGGGTGGGTTTCTGAGCTCAGTTGAAGATTTCTGCTATAAATACTTGTTTTGGATTTGGGGGTCACAAATCTCATCTCATCTCAAATCCACTGAAATATTGAGTCAAAATGTATCCTGAGTTGGAAACATTGCCTCGGCATTTTCTCAATTGTTGAATAATTGGTAACGGTCTTGGGATGGACAATGGTTGCTTCATAAAGTAATTCTTTTTGATGGATTATGTGATAAACATAGGGGATGAACCATTGATGAGAAGTAAGCTCTACTGGGCCATATTGCTTTTTTTTTTTTTTTAAGGAAATATGACGGTCTTGGTTCGGAGATGGGTGCATGGCTCTTGTTTCTTAAATGTGAGCATGTGAAATGTTGAACAAAAAAGTTACATCGTTGTACTTGAAACATGTAGTTTTAATGTTTTGTACTTCTAAGCGCATAGATGATTCATTGCCACCCCCAGTTACATATGTACTAATTGGTGAAATTCTTGTGGTTAGAGTTCAGTATTTCAAATTATGCAAGACAAATTCTATTTGCTACAAAATAGTTACCATGAATTAACTTGTAATAGCTGTAAGAATTAAAACTTAATTATGGTGCCGCGAGATGAAGTTGTAGAGTTAGACTAAAACTCTAGTACAGGTCTAATGGAAAATTTTCTCTTTGGTTCCTTTTCTATCTGGATTTCCAGTAAAATTGTCTGAGAAGTATATGTCTGGCGGCTTCAGATTGTGGATTATAGTTTTTATTTCTTTCAGGTATGTTCCATCTTTTATACCACCGCCTATGGCAACCAAGGGAAGAGATTATGAGAAGAAGGTCAGTATACATTATGCAGGCTAGGATTATTTTAAAATACTATAAATTGCCCAGTTGGAGAGCTAGCCTTGTGTTTTGTATTTCCTATTTTTGTTCTAAAATTTTTTTGATTAGAATTTGCAGAAGGAAGAGGAAAAGCCGAAGGATAAGGAGAAAGGGAAGTCGCGAAACATTGACCATTTTATGGAAGAGTTGAAGCATGAGCAAGAGATGAGGGAAAGGCGAAACCAAGAGAGAGAGCACTGGCGAGATGGGCGTCATAGTGAGAATTCTGCTGTAAGTGTTTCTTAAAACGAAAGTTGGATTGATCAATTTATGTTCAGATTAGTTCAGTTAAATTTCTATTCCCTCCGCATCATCTATAAGCATAGTTTTATCTACCAGTTTGGCTTTAAGATGGTTGCATTATGAACATATGAATGCACACTTGTGGTTTTCCTTGTCACATCATATGTGGCGATTTTATTATTCTTCTAAATTGTCTTATCTCATTTGGTAGGCAAGGATCAAAATTTCCCCCCCCCCCCATCAGAACGGCCTAAATGTTTCCGGTTCGATAGAATTTCAAATAAATAAGAGATTGAATAGCGAAATTTCAATGTTTCAAGCTGTTTTGGAATGTTGCGAGGTATTTTGATTCGAGAATGTTTCGTTATGTTACGATCGATGATTAAGAAACAAGATTTGGAATTTTTTCTTTGTTTTCATTTTACTTCCAAATCTGAAATGGTTTTGTTTCTGAGTTGATCATAATTATGCACTGAAATGAAATTTTGATCCTTGTCGGTAGAAATAAATATGATAAGATCTTTGTCATTCCCTATTCTTTATCATGTTGTGTGCATCTTTGCATTTTCTCTCCATCTATTTGATCTTTAGTTGTCTACTATAATCTTATTCAGCCGCCTAGCCGATTCGATGAGCTGCCTGATGATTTTGATCCTAGTGGAAAGCCTGGGTCATTTGATGATGGAGATCCGCAAACGACAAACCTTTACGTAGGCAATCTTTCCCCTCAGGTTAGGTCGTGGTCTTTCCGTTTGAAATCTCTCTCCTCATTTCTTATAAAGGCTCTGTTGCTTCTGGGGCTAGGTTTATGTATCGTTGACCTTGTTTTAAATTGTTCCCAATTATTTCTTAGGTGGATGAGAATTTTCTTTTACGTACTTTTGGAAGATTTGGACCTATTGCTAGTGTGAAAATAATGTGGCCAAGAACAGAAGAGGAACGTAGGCGGCAGAGAAATTGTGGCTTTGTAGCTTTCATGAATAGAGCCGATGGACAGGCTGCAAAGGATGAGATGCAAGGTTTAAGATTTTTAGCCTCTTGTTGATGATGTTACTCTATAGGCTATAGCAAATAGGATTTTCTTAATTTATCACTATTAGCTCTGACTTTGCTTTCTCAAAAGTTGAGTAAAATCAAAGACAATACTTATCTATCTCCACATTTTATGATTTTGTCTCTAAACTTCCCCAAATTTTATGAGTTAGTAGCACCCATCAGGTGCATCTTCTTTCTTCACATGAGTTTTCACAATATTTCTTAACATCTGTTTTCCAATGTTGTGCTGGATTGCTTTTCTAATTTATGTACCAGATTGCAAAAATGGTAGTTCGATGTCCTGTTGGAAATGGAATTAGGTGAAGTTTCAATTAGTTCATAATGGAGACTAAAAATTTCCAAAAGAAATTTAGACATAAACTTGTTGTAAATGGCTTATTTCTGACCTTGAAAAATTAGGGAAATTTAATTAAGGGTTTCTCTGATTGGTATGAAATGGATTATCACTGATGAAAAGTTCTGGTATTTTAACATGGAAGACTATCGAATCATTAATGTGAACCCTGAGGTGTGTGAAAACTAACAGAATGAAACAGATGTGCCCATTTTAACTTCTNAACTATCGAATCATGAATGTGAAACCCTGAGGTGTGTGAAAACTAACAGAATGAAACAGATGTGCCCATTTTAACTTCTGTTTAGATTATGGCGACTAATTCTATATTCTGGTGTCTGGAATGCACTATGCTTGAATAAGGGTTTTATTTTTGGACTATTAATCTATTGTAGGGTTTTATTTTTGGACTATTAATCTATTGTAGGGTTTTATTTTTGGACTATTAATCTATTATATGTGGTAANTGCTTGAATAAGGGTTTTATTTTTGGACTATTAATCTATTGTAGGGTTTTATTTTTGGACTATTAATCTATTATATGTGGTAATTGAATTCTACACTCTGTATCTGTTCTCATTCAATATTTGCTAAGTCTTGCGAATGACAAAATGATATTGGAGATAAATTTTATGATTCAGGGGTGGTTGTTTATGAATATGAGTTAAAGATTGGCTGGGGTAAAACTGTTGCTCTTCCATCACAAGCACTACCTGCTCCACCACCAGGGCATATGGCCATCAGGAGTAAGGAGGTCTGTCATCTTTTATCAAAATGAAACTACTAAGTTCACAAGCATGTATACCATGTGCGAGCATTTTTCACCTTTTGTAATACTTGATTTTGATACCTCTTGGTTTTAGAGTAATTTCTTCAATGCGTCTTGTTTGAATGGAAATTCAGAAAATTGTGTTCCTTAACCTGTTATATAAACTGAAATCATGTATACCTTTGTAATTGACAGGGTGCCACGGTTATCTTGTCTGGTCCATCAGGCCCTCCGGTTACTTCTGTCCCGAGCCAGAACTCTGAGTTGGTAATTATTTTAACAGATGATCTCTGGTTTGATTTTAAAGGTCTATGATCAGTGTGATTTAGTTCAGTAATTTAGATGCTAAGTTTTGAAACTTTGGGATAGGTTTTGTCAGCCACTCTATCACAGTTGTTGGTAAAGGTGCTAACATGGCATCTCAATGACGAGTGGAGTTAGATAGTGGATTTTAATCCTCTATCAAATAATATTTTCAATAATAAGTAGTAGTAGCAATAATAATAATAATAATAATAATAATAATAAATAAATGTTCTCATCAAGTGTCTGATCAACAATAATGATGATAATAGTAAGAGTGGTAAAAATAAATATGTGGAACTGAATATTTTCTCCCTAATTGTGTGTGTGATCACACACGCATGGACACCCACATGCATGTACACACAAAACCAATTAAGGTAGCCTGTTGTATGTTTTGTCCAAAATATCTGCTACGACAGTACTATGTTGACGATTTTATTTTTGTTTTTGAAGTTTATTGTTGACTCGGTAATTTGTCATTCTTTGGCTCCAACTAGGAATCAAAAAATGTGATGTAAAGGAAATAGAAAAGGAAAGGGTAAGAGAAATATAGAGCATTCCAAAAAGGTAAATAAGAAGGGCTTGCCTCTTCACACCTGCTTGTGCATATGCTAGTTAACGTGGCCTTGCTTATACTTGGAAATTATAAATTGTTTGCGGTACCTTCTTGCTATCATTACATGGATGGACCCTGCGCTTTGGAAAGGCTCGTTTATTGTCTAATTCCAACTGGGTTACGCAATCAACTGCCATAAGATTTGACTTTCTTTTCTGGGGAGGTGACACTGATTTTAATTGATCCTGGACTGATTCATCCTGGCAGCCTGACTCTAGGTGTAGAGTTACATATCTTCTAGTACTTTCACCTGTTTCTTCTTTACACTTTTTTTTTTCCAGATAGTTAAATTTGGTTCAATGGTTTCTTTTTATCCATAAACGGATTTGATTCTGTTGTTCTTATTGCAAATTTATTGTTGATGACTTGACCTGGGTTTTAGGTCCTTACTCCAAATGTGCCTGATATTTTGGTTCTTCCACCTGAGGATGCTCATCTTCGCCATGTGATTGATACAATGGCACTCTACATTCTTGATGGAGGTTGTGCTTTTGAGCAAGCTATAATGGAGCGAGGCCGCGGGAATCCTCTTTTTAGTTTCTTGTTTGAGCTTGGCTCAAAGGAGCATACTTATTATGTTTGGAGGCTGTATTCCTTTGCACAGGTACATCCTGTCTCGGCTCTAAATGAACATGTAATTTGCAGCCTTTGGATTCCGTGAAGTGTTTGGCTCTGTCACACCTATATTACCTTTCTTGACTCACTTGTGGTTGACTTGGTTCTTGAGTAACCTTATATTACAAGTAAAACAGATCTGAGGCTGTACTTGTTGCTGTTGCATTATTATTTTATATATAAACCACAAAGGTTAATTTTGTATATTGCATTATTATTTTATATATAAACCACGAAGGTTAATTTTGTATACTACAACAATGTCAAATAATGTCAAGACCAATAAAATTTGTCCATTTGACCGTGAATTATGTATATTGTGACTTGTGAGCATGTGACATGGTGACACAAATGAAGTATCTACTTGTAACATGAATACTGCATTAGATATCTCGCATTGGGTCATATACGCTAGTTTATGCTTGTTTGACAATGGTTAAGAAGATGATATGCATCCAATACTCTCTTGAGTAGTCATTTTGGACTTTAGAGTGGAAAGAATGAACTGAAGAATTTTGTTGTTTGTATAAACGCAGGGTGATACTCTTCAACGGTGGCGAACAGAGCCTTTCATCATGATAACTGGTAGTGGAAGGTAGTACATGCTGACTATGTCTTCTTTTGATGCCTATGCTTATATAAGATTGGGGTTGTTTTAGATGTCAAATGCAGTATTTGGAATAATTTGTTCAGAACCTAATGTCTACTATGGTATCTCTTTTGTGTGTCCAGATGGATGCCACCCTCTCTGCCAACTGCTAAAAGCCCAGAGCATGAAAAGGAGTCTGGGGCCACATATGCTGCTGGAAGAAGCAGGGTACTTTCTGTCTTTTAATTGTACACCATTTAGTGAAATTTATTTTGAATAAATAATTTTAGCAGACATTTGTGATTAAGGATTTTTTTTTTTTTTTTGATTTATCCATTCCTGCTCATCAATATTGGCAGCGTGTGGAGCTGGAACGAACACTAACTGATGTACAGAGAGACGAATTTGAGGATATGCTGCGTGCATTGACACTAGAGAGAAGTCAGATAAAGGAAGCCATGGGTTTTGGATTAGATAATGCTGATGCTGCTGGAGAGGTAATGCTGATATTTCTGCTAATATCTTGGCCAACTTTGGGCATTAGGNGGCATTGGGTCATATACGCTAGTTTATGCTTGTTTGACAATGGTTAAGAAGATGATATGCTTCCAATACTCTCTTGAGTAGTCATTTTGGACTTTAGAGTGGAAAGAATGAACTGAAGAATTTTGTTGTTTGTATAAACGCAGGGTGATACTCTTCAACGGTGGCGAACAGAGCCTTTCATCATGATAACTGGNCGCATTGGGTCATATACGCTAGTTTATGCTTGTTTGACAATGGTTAAGAAGATGATATGCATCCAATACTCTCTTGAGTAGTCATTTTGGACTTTAGAGTGGAAAGAATGAACTGAAGAATTTTGTTGTTTGTATAAACGCAGGGTGATACTCTTCAACGGTGGCGAACAGAGCCTTTCATCATGATAACTGGTAGTGGAAGGTAGTACATGCTGACTATGTCTTCTTTTGATGCCTATGCTTATATAAGATTGGGGTTGTTTTAGATGTCAAATGCAGTATTTGGAATAATTTGTTCAGAACCTAATGTCTACTATGGTATCTCTTTTGTGTGTCCAGATGGATGCCACCCTCTCTGCCAACTGCTAAAAGCCCAGAGCATGAAAAGGAGTCTGGGGCCACATATGCTGCTGGAAGAAGCAGGGTACTTTCTGTCTTTTAATTGTACACCATTTAGTGAAATTTATTTTGAATAAATAATTTTAGCAGACATTTGTGATTAAGGATTTTTTTTTTTTTTTTGATTTATCCATTCCTGCTCATCAATATTGGCAGCGTGTGGAGCTGGAACGAACACTAACTGATGTACAGAGAGACGAATTTGAGGATATGCTGCGTGCATTGACACTAGAGAGAAGTCAGATAAAGGAAGCCATGGGTTTTGGATTAGATAATGCTGATGCTGCTGGAGAGGTAATGCTGATATTTCTGCTAATATCTTGGCCAACTTTGGGCATTAGGCTATTGTTAAACACCATCACATCTAAAATCGTAAGCTTTTCACATACAAGGTGGGTTTTCAGCCAAGCATGAGCAAGTCTTGTAATTATTTGGGTGGCATCTAGATTTGAACAAACAAACTCTTAATTTGATGCTGTGTTAAAAACCATCTCATCTAAAAGCTTACGCTATTAGAGAGGGATAACATAAGCATGTACATATGGTCATATCTATAGGCCGCAATTTTGGGTTATATCGCTATGAAATTTGCCCAAGTATTGTTTAATTTTCCATCTGATACCAGTAATACTGCGTCCAGTGTTAATTGTGGAACTGATTCCGCAAAGAAAGGGGCCTTATTTAAATAACTAAGTTCTCTCTTTTCTTTTGCTGGAGGAGTTTTGATAGGTAGGGCTGACCAAAACAATCCATTGAAATTATAACATAAAAATGCGTTGTGTGTAAGAATTCATAGTTTTCTTTTTTTATTCCTCTAAGGTAGTAAAGTCAATCAAAAAAAAAGAAAAGAAAGAATAATAAGAATTGACACTTTGATTTTATATAATAAAATTAGAGATTGGATAAGAGGGCCTTATGGAGAATGTGGTCAGAGATCCATAATAGAGGTCGACCACAATGACTGCATTTATNGTGACACTTTGATTTTATATAATAAAATTAGAGATTGGATAAGAGGGCCCTATGGAGAATGTGGTCAGAGATCCATAATAGAGGTCGACCACAATGACTGCATTTATTATCTTTATACATAAGGGTACTGGATTACCTAATAGCAAAGATTTAAAAATCATCACAAACCTCCCTTTTTCTTTTCTATTGGACTTGTTGATGGTGATGGCCTGATTGTATTCTACTTCATGAGGGCATGAGCTCTACCCTCCAGGGAAAAACAAAGAAAAGGAAGATTGAAAGCTGGATTCTGAGTTTTATAGGGTTCTGAATGCTTTCGTTCTTGACTTTATCTAAAACTGCTAATATATCTATCTTGCATTGCAGATAGTTGAAGTTTTAACCGAGTCTTTGACACTCAAAGAAACTCCTATACCGACCAAAGTTGCAAGGCTCATGCTTGTCTCTGACATTCTTCACAATAGTAGTGCTCCTGTAAAGAATGCATCTGCATATAGAACCAAATTTGAAGCGACTCTACCGGACATAATGGAAAGCTTTAATGACTTGTATCGTAGTATTACAGGAAGAATCACTGCTGAGGCCCTTAAGGTAGGCAGTACATGCAAACACTGGCTTCCCAACATAGCCCCTTCTTATTACTTTATTTATTATTTATTGTTTTGCAATCTGATTTTAGATAATCTCTATCTGCCATTCTGCAGGAACGAGTTTTAAAAGTCCTGCAAGTATGGGCTGACTGGTTTTTGTTTTCGGACGCATATGTGAATGGATTACGAGCTACTTTTCTTCGATCTGGGAACTCTGGTGTGATCCCTTTTCATTCTATATGTGGTGATGCACCAGAGGTAGAAAAGAAGACCAGTTCTGGAGATGCAGGCGATGGGGGTAAGATTAACCAAGATGCTGCACTGGCTATGGGCAAAGGGGCCGCCATGCAGGAGCTTTTAAATCTTCCCCTTGCTGAACTTGAAAGACGATGCAGACATAATGGACTATCGCTTGTTGGTGGTAGAGAAATGATGGTTGCACGATTGCTTGATCTGGAAGAGGCAGAGAAACAGAGGGGCTATGACTTAGATGACGACTTGAAATATGCCCAGAGCCGTTCAAGTTCTGGTAGGTACCAAAGTGGGCAGAAAGAAACAAATCTGGAAGCAGAGCCTGTGGGATTATCAGGATGGAATCGTTATGGGGAGGATGAGACACAGCTCCAAGGCAAGGGGTCTGTAGCTTTGGCCTCAACCGTTCCCCTACCACTGCCTGAACTAAAAGCCTTCACAAATAAAGGGCAAAATGACCCTGTTTTGCCATCCTCTAAATGGGCCAGAGAAGACGATGAAAGTGATGATGATGAACAAAAGAGAAGTGCAAGGGATCTAGGGTTAAGTTACTCATCTTCTGGGAGTGAGAATGCTGGTGATGGTCTTGATAAGATGCAGGATATGGAGCTTGCTACTGATGCAAGCATTCCAGCACATCTGGATACTGGAATGAATGAAGAGCAGAGGTACTTATGCTTCCTCTGCATTCCATCGTCTTATTTTTCAAGGGATGTTGGATTTGGACATCTCATGGACATTATTATTTTTCAAGGGAGGTTGGAATTTTGGACATTTCACAGACGTGAATATCTACCATATTTTAGATAGCACGTTGAGTACTCTAAATTGTTGTAGCAGTCGAAACATTTGATTCTTAAATTGTTAATTTTTTCTTCTGTATATCGGTAACGGGGGTCATTTCAAGTCCAGAAATCATTGTTTTGCTGATAATTGCATGTCTTATTATTGCTGCTAGCCGCATGCGGGAACCCGTTTAATGTTTGACCATTATCTTTTGGGCGTGGGGGGACCTGCTTCGATTTGCTGTGGAAGATTGATCTGCTTCAAGTGCTATGCTAAACCAAATGAGAAATTTCAATATATACACCCCCCCCCCCAAACACTGAAAAAAAAAAGAAAAGAAGCAAACCCTGGCTGGTAGTTCAGATGCGTAGGTTATGATTTGGTACACTTCATGATATGCAATGATCCATTTTCTTGTGCTTGACTGTGCTTTCTTTGACAGACAAAAGTTGAGGCGACTTGAGGTTGAACTTATAGAATATCGTGAATCTCTAGAGGAGCGTGGTGTCAAAAGTTTGGAGGAAATTGAGAGGAAAGTTGCAATCCATCGGAAGCGTCTAGAGTCTGAATATGGCCTATTGGACTCTAACGAAGATGTTTCAGCCAACAGTAAGTGCTAAAACTGTAAACAGATGGAATTGAAATAGAAATTATGATACTCTGAGCCTTTTTAGTCAGTTATGTTCTTTCCTAGTTTTATGTGTTATGTGAATTAATTTCTTTCTAATTCACCTGTTTTGATTAACATTTATTTAGCTTCAGGAACTGTTAAATTTGGGTTTGGGAAATATTTGTCACTCTTCATGCTCAAATTCTGATGTAGTCAGATGATCACTGCAGTAAGAATGGCTCTTAGACATTGCATTGTCAAAACTGTAGTTTTTCACCATCATATTACTGAAATTGTGTTATGCTGTGTGCCATATTATGTTTTGTACTACATATATTACATAGTATAAAGTTTGACTTCACTTCATAAACAAGAAATCTGGGTATTGACAAATTATGTACAGTTCTCATATGTCCTAGTTCACCTTTGAAAACTAGAGTATTTGTAGGATCTATATATTGAAGTGCTTTGTTTTGTTCCCCCTTAAAAGATAAAGTGGTCTTGTTCCTAAATTTTTTGTGCTGTAGTGTTTCATTGATTGTAGACAAAAAAGTTATGGATATAGCTACATTTTTCTAGCAAAAAGGAGGGAGGAAAGTATTGTCACTAGTTGAACTAGGTGTATCTAGGTTCTGAGTTGTTGCCAATCTTTTGAAATGTAGCCTTCATTGGAAATGGTACAAAAGGTGTTCATTCCAAATCTACCTTTTATTTCAAAAAGTTATTTCGGTAGGTAGTTGCTTTAAAGGATGAAGATTTGAATCAAGTGGAGGATAATTTTGGTAGCCCATAATCTTGCACCACAATTTACCTTCATGAAATGGCTTATCTAAAAGTTTGGACTCCAAAAAGGGTATCTGATTATGGGATGGAGGGTGTTTTTAAAATCTTGCTGGGCCATTGTATTTCTTCTCAATAAATGTATGTTACATTTGTTTAGTGGTAGATTATTGATTCTGGTAGCTTTTCCTGTTTCCTTTGTCACCCTTTTGCTCCTTATGGATTTGCAAGCCATGAAATTATTAGGTCAATTAGAACTAGCCCAGTACTTTGGATTATACTAAGTTTTAGAACTTCTATGTTTTGGAACTCTTATATAAATGGCTAACAAGTCATATTTTGAAGCTTGATGAGTAGCCATTTATTCGCGTTCTGGCTGGCTTTGTATTGATCATTGATTATGCCCATTATTCCAAAATCTGGGGATCACTTTTTTTCTTCCCCAAGGATTTGTCTATTCGCTGGAGAAGTGGAAATAATGAAAAGTATTATTGAAGTAGAGTTTGGGAAAGAAAATTATTCTTTTTTGTTTAACCTTTTTTGTTTGGAGCACAGCTTCTTTAGGGCTAAAAATAGGGTCACTTATTTTGAAATCTGTTATCCATATTACTGAAGAGTAAAGAAAANGGGAAAGAAAATTATTCTTTTTTGTTTAACCTTTTTTGTTTGGAGCACAGCTTCTTTAGGGCTAAAATAGGGTCACTTATTTTGAAATCTGTTATCCATATTACTGAAGAGTAAAGAAAATGCAGAGTTGGCACGGGTCAGCAATGTGGAATTTGTGTTTTTTGTTTTGTTTTATTGGTTTCCTCTTTTGGTCATTGGTGGGGCCAGTGCTGGCTTGTTGCTCTAGGAAATTTATTGGGCCAATAAACATGCTTGATTGTATTTAGTTTCCTCTGGCTTTTAGTAGTCAAATGGAATAAATTTCATCTGCTTTACAGATACATTTAAACTGCAAAGTAGAGACAAGTACTGTTATCTGTGTTAATACTTACAGAAAATCGTATAGAAGGAAAATTTATTTAATCCAACATGATGGTGGTTGCTGCATTGTCTGTGTGGGATTGTCTTTCTCCTATTTTCCTCATCAAAACGGTTTCTTTGGTCTTGGTAATGTTGTGATTTCTGTAGTGATTTAGTGTTTTCAGATATAGGAGCTTAATTTTGTNTGTATAGAAGGAAAATTTATTTAATCCAACATGATGGTGGTTGCTGCATTGTCTGTGTGGGATTTGTCTTTCTCCTATTTTCCTCATCAAAACGGTTTCTTTGGTCTTTTGTTAATGTTGTGATTTCTGTAGTGATTTAGTGTTTTCAGATATAGGAGCTTAATTTTGTTTTTACGTACTTGTATTTGTCATTGGNTAATGTTGTGATTTCTGTAGTGATTTAGTGTTTTCAGATATAGGAGCTTAATTTTGTTTTTACGTACTTGTATTTGTCATTGGTTATAGTTTGTTCTATTGTGTGTGCACTTAAATGATTTTTTTTTCACATCCCTGAATTTGCAGAGAGATCATCTTTAGAGAGGAGGGACAAAAGAGAGGATTCTCGTGAGTCTTCAAGGAAGCGTCACCGCAGTCAGAGCAGGAGTGAAAGCCCCCAACGCAAATCATCTCTGAGAGCAAAGGAGAGGGAGATGGATGCAGACAAGGATCGAGAAAGGCATCGTGATAGAGACAGAAATAGAGAGCGAGCTCATGATCCAGAAAGCGACAGGGGAAGAGACCGGGAGCGTGAAAAGAGTGGAAGCAGGGAAAGAGACGACCATGATAGGGACAAAGGCAGAGAGAGAGACAAGGATAGGAGGAGAAGGGTGAAGTGAGTCCCTCGATGGTCCACACCAAAGCACGACGAAGGTGAAACGAGATGGGAATCTATTTACTGGTAGTCGAAATATTTCTTGTATTGGATCATGTCCTCCTTTCAAGTCAAAACGTCGGTTTTGTGAATACCAGTTTCTATTTTTTTGATGTGTTTTAAAGTCAACCCACTAGAAAATACTTGTATCAAAGGTTACTAAGAGGAGCTGTGTTCCGTCCGAGTTGGTTAGAGACCCTTGTGGAGCACTTAAATGTGACAGGTTCCATCCCCTCCCCCTGCCCCCTGCCCCATAGTGGAGTGTTGTGCTGTTGCTATAAAAAAGAAAGAAAGGGTTAATAAGCTTTTTAAAAACCTTTTGAGGTCTAAGATTAACAGGAATCATATGAATTTGCATTTGACGCCCCGCATTGAGATTTGACCGAATTACACNTAATAAGCTTTTTAAAAACCTTTTGAGGTCTAAGATTAACAGGAATCATATGAATTTGCATTTGACGCCCCGCATTGAGATTTGACCGAATTACACCGTTTAATCCATTCCAGAGCTTCAAAGTTGATATATTAGCATATGGAAAACTTCTTTAAGCTTTCAGAGTTCGGTTCTAAGTTCAAATGGGCATAACTTCCTTCTATTATTTCTGGATCCAATCCTAACGCATTTTTTTTTTTTACCTTTAGTGTAAGGTATATAGGTTAAGTTGATCGAATCTAACCGATATGTGATTGCTTGAGAGATTTTCAACAAAACTTCAAGTAACTCTATATCGAGCGGCTCTGTATTCTTCAATCTTTAACACACATGACCTCAACTTAGACAGACTTGATTCATGTGACTAATGAAATTTTGTCTACTAAAAAAATACCCACTACACATAAGTGGTTACGAGAGAAGGCTTTGTGTGTAGTATTTGTGGGAATGCAAAGTAAGATGTACTGATAATTCAAGAAGAGTTTGAGAGGATCTGATACATGATAACAAATAAGAAGAAGAAATTTAGAGATTGAATATGTTCAATAAAAAAGGAGATTCAGGAAGAGTGCGAGGATGGCGAGAAGGGAACCACAGCCTATCGTTTTCAACCAAACCTTAACAACATAATTAGTAAACCCGCTTTATGTGCGAGGAAAAATGTCAGACCAATGTCATACTGGAACTCCACCGCAATTGCCACTGTCGTACCACCACTGTTGTACCTCCACCACTATGCCATTGAGAACTTGTGTGAAGCCTGTTTTTAAGCTTCTAGAGAGAGGAGTTTTAGAGAGAGAAAGTGAGGAGAGAGAGAGCTGTGTTTATTACAGGGCTCAACGACAAGTCTTGTTTTGTTACCAAACCCATTCACAAATCACGAAAAATGATGTCTTAAACGAAAAAAATAATGTTAGGAAATTTGCACGAAAGTACATGTCAAAAAAAAACATCACATACAAAAGTCAGTATTTACGTGGTTTGACAATTTATTTACGTTTACGAAATTATAAGAATTTCACTATTGAGAAGAAGAAATACAGAGGGCGATTGTACAATATCAATCAAACTCTAATCACTAAAATAACAGTTTTTATATGTCTTGCGTACTCGACTACAAAACAAGTCCAAAATTTTTTTCCCAGAGACCCGTACGAGGCTTGGGCTTATCATCCGGATCATACGCAACCTAAACTCCACAAAAAGAACCTAACAAATGTAACAAAATCAATTCAAGCATCTCCATCTCCATTGCTACAGCGGCAGCGGCTGCAAGCGCTTAACACCAAGTTGCACATAATTTACAAAATATTCAATTCGAAATTTAAACTAAAAGTAAGCGATATTCCTCGTCTATTCCTCATGTATATCCTGTGGAGATAAATCACGTGTTGGAGATAAAGTAGGGATTGAATCAGGTGCTTCAACCAATTCGGCAGATTGGTTAACATCCCCGCAAGCTAAGGGGCGGAGGAAGAGCCATCAGCTTGTCACGAAGAAATGAAAACCGAATGGATGTGAGACCTTTGGTAAAAACATCAACGAGTTGATCGCGAGTGTTGAAGTATTAGACGACTACATCACCATTTATTACTTTTTCCCGAATAAAATGGTAATCAATTTCAACATACTTGGTGCGAGCATGAAATAGCGTTAATATTGTCACACCATAAAATGGGTGTCGAGGGAATAGCTATTTATAAGTCTCGAAATAGCATTCGGATCCAATACAACTCAGCGATAGTTAAGGACAAAGCTCGATACTCGGCACCTGAACTTGCACGAGAGACCACACTCTGTTTCTTTGCGGACCAAGAGATCATGCAGGAGCCGAAAAACACGCTGTGCGTGCAGGATCTTGCACAATATAAAAAACGAGAACAGATCTCTCCCTTGGTGAACTCGAGTGAGTCAGTTGAGTGATCAACCACGCTGCTTGGGACAGCCTGTGAGGTCCGGTGGTAACCTGGAACGGTAACGGGAGACCCTCGTGAACTGAAGGGATGATCCAGTAAGGCTGGGAAAAGGTTCCTGGAACAAATGAGAACAAGTTAGAAGGGCGCCAGAGTGTTTTCCGGCTTATCCCCTCCGACGATCAAGTCAGTTTTTGAAAGGGAGAGGAAGAAGAAAGCACTGAGTATCTCTCGTAGTAAAGAGTTTCTTGTGGTAGGTGGAGTGCACAGCTCCCAACGCATGCATCCATGTTCGCCCCATGATCACGTTGTAGGGAGAGTCCGTATCAATTACGACGAACTCGGTATTGATGACGAAGGGACCGGTGACAACTGGCAATGTGATTTTGCCTATGGGCAGAGCGAACGAGCCGTTGAATCCGATGAGAGGTGTTCTGACCTTGGTGAGATCCTTGAGGTCAAGACCCATCCGTTTTAAAGTCTCGGAATACATCACTTCCGAGAAACTTCCAGAGTCTATCAACATCTTTTTGACGTCGAATTTTCCTATCTTCAGGGTCAAGACCAGGGCGTCGTTATGAGGAGTCACCACGCCTGTCAAGTCCGCGTCTGAGAACGTGATGCTTGGTTCACCAGTCCTGGCCCTTTTACAGGGTGGCCCTCCATCATCCTCGGCCACCTTCCTGGTAAAAGCTACCCTATTGAGGTCGGACTCGAGTTCCTTGGACGTGGGGTGATCCAGGGGACATACATGGATGACATCTATGACGTTGTCCGGTTCCTCAGTCGGGGCAATGACGTGTCTCTCTTCTGGCCTGGGCTCTATGTATTCTTTCAAGTACCCGTCTCGGACCAATTTTTTCAAGAACGATTTATACACCCTGCAGCTTTCGGTGCGATGTCCGAAATCCTGGTGATAGGAACACCTAACCCTTTGATCACGGGTGGAGGGATCGCTCTGCATCCTGGGTGGCCATTTGAAGAACGGTTCGTGCTTGATCTTATGGAGTAACTTGAAGATGGGTTCTTTGAATACAGTGTGAACTCCTTTGGACTGACCCCCTGGGGGGGGGGCAGCAATCCCTTTCGGAGAGTATCTTCTCGCTCCCTCTCTTTTCTTTTAGATTGTAGGGTTCGGCCTTTGCTGCTTCCTATCTCGTCTTCGATCCTTGAGTATTTGTTTATCCGAGCCATTAGCTCCCCCATATCCGAGGGAGTTTTCTTGGTCAGGGATCGGTACAGGTCCGTGTCCCTCGCCAGGCCGAGCCAGAAAGACGCCGCTGCCATGACTTCCGAGCAACCTTCTATCTTANATCCGAGGGAGTTTTCTTGGTCAGGGATCGGTATAGGTCCATGTCCCTCGCCAGGCCGAGCCGGAAAGATGCCGCTGGCATGACTTTTGAGCAAACTTCTACCTTATTAACCTCTTCCCAGTATCGGATGGCATACTGGCGAAGGGTCTCAGATTCTCTACGTCGGAGGGTCAGCAATGATCCAATGTCTTTGGGGCGCTTACTCCCCGTAATGAATCGTGCCAGGAACTGCCTCGTTANTTGGGAAAAGCGCCTCGAACCACTTCATCGCAGAGTCCCCCAAGCTCATTAGAAACACTCGGCAGAGAAACCGTTGGTCCGAATGATAGAGGGACATCATCTGCTTGTATTGCCTGAGATGGGCTTCGGGATCGAACCGCCCGTCATAAGTTTTGAACCTCAGCACGATGAACTTTCTGGAAACCTCCATCTCTCCGATCTCCCTGGTGAAGGGTGTTTGTATGACCTCGTCTTCGACCTCATCCTGGATAGCCTTACTCTTTCTCTTGGATTTCGGCCGAGCTCTGAGATCAATTTCCTCCCTGACGGGATGTCTTTTGACGTCCTTGAGCTTATCAATGGGCCCCTCATTTCCTGGGCGTCGTGCGGATATGNCTCCGATCTCCCTGGTGAAGGGTGTTTGTATGACCTCGTCTTCGACCTCATCCTGGATAGCCTTACTCTTTCTCTTGGATTCCGGCCGAGCTCTGAGATCAATTTCCTCCCTGACGGGATGTCTTTTGATGTCCTTGAGCTTATCAATGGGCCCCTCATTTCTTGGGCGTCGTGCGGATAGGGAAGAATCCTCCTCGGACTCATCCCCCTCCCTTCGTCTAGACAATCCTCGCCAGAGGTAGTCCAGGGCTAATGGTCTTGCCTTCCTTGAATAGTCGTTAGGAAGGTCCTCGTTGGCACTCGGTCGCTTTGGAGCCCGGGAGCTCTCCGCCTTGTTGTTTAGATGATTCCTTAGATCCTTCGTTTTCGCCTCCCGGGCGGGGAGCCCACGAGAGAAGAATGAGTCCCTCGACCCTTCGCCGGAGGTGGCGAATTCGTTGAGCTGACTTAGGACGTTTACATTGTCATTTTTCNGAGCCCACGAGAGAAGAATGAGTCCCTCGACCCTTCGCCGGAGGTGGCGAATTCGTTGAGCTAACTTAGGACGTTTACATTGTCATTTTCCAGCTGTCGTAATCTATCGCCAAACTTTTCTTCGATCACCTTCGCCAGCTGACGAGCCAGGGGGGCTGACCCTCCTGACCTAATTCCCATACTGGTTTGAGGGGTAACCCCTCTGGACTGAGTGGAGACATTTTTACTCCCGTCAGTGTGATCCCTTCCTTCGTGGTGACATGGAGCTTGTAGTTCGAGACTTCTTTGGTGGGGACCTTTCCCTTTTTGTCGAGTGTTCACCATGGTCACTGTTCTTTATAGAGAAAAAACTAGGAAAACTAGTTGTTTCCCACAGACGGCGCCAGATTGTGCGTGCAGGATCTTGCACAATATAAAAAACGAGAACAGATCTCTCCCTTGGTGAACTCGAGTGAGTTAGTTGAGTGATCAACCACGCTACTTGGGACATCCTGTGAGGTCCGGTGGTAACCTGGAACGGTAACGAGAGACCCTCGTGAACTGAAGGGATGATCCAGTAAGGCTGGGAAAAGGTTCCTGGAACAAATGAGAACA